GTGAGGAAGGTTCTCGGGGCTGTACAGCAGAGGCACGGCCCGAGCCCAGTGTCCTGGAGAGGGTCAGGGTTGGTCATGGCAAACAGCACCCTGTCCCGAGCCTGGTCACTGCAGAGCCCAGACACACCACTGTCCAGCTAAGCTGAGCAGCTTGGGAACGAGTCCCGGGGCTGCCCTGAGGGCTCCCTCTCCTCTGTGGGAACAAGTCCCGGGGCTGCCCCGAGGGCTCCCTCTGTCTCGTGGGAACCAGGGCTGGGCAGCGCCAAGCTCAGACTCTGCCCTCCTCCGTGGCTGTGACGACTGGGCAGTCCCACATGGGGGCGGGCTCTCCTCTCCCAGGACCTTGCCCACAGGACCACAAATGCCCACCATGGCCTGAGGAGCAGGCATCTCCCAGCCTCCCCCTCGGCACGCCAGGCTCAGGGCCGAGCAGGCACCTGCCTGGGGGCAGAAGGAAAACCCTAAAGGTGTGCTGGCCACGGCTTGTGCGACAGCGCCCAGGAAAGGTGCGTGCTCTGGGAAAGGTCCCCACCTGGCTCTGTGACGGCCACAGGAAAGAGCTCCGTGCGGGTGGGACCTGCAGGAAATACCTTACAGGAGCTTGTCCCTTCTGCTTGCCCCCTTCATCCTTCCTGCTGCCTGGAACATGAGGATAATGGTGGACCCACAGCAGCCATTCTGGGGCATGAGGGAACCATGAGCATGGAAACCACACGTTAAGAAGGCCAGAGCCAGGGGCCAGCAGGTGGCGTGGTGGTTAAAGGCACTGGACTCCCACATGGCTGACTACGGTTTGAGTCCTGGACTTGGTGGCTTGCTTTCTCACTTTCTCTCTTACTCTCTCTGCCCCTCGCTGGTCAAATTAGAATAAGTAAATGAATAAATTAATAAAGTTAAATAGAAGCATTCTTTAAAAAAGAAAGAATGCCGGAGTTGAGAGGTAGGACAGGCTGCACCGCCTCCCCCCAGGCCTTCATTCAGAAACAGCATCGACTCTGGGCCCTAGTCACCAGCTTGTGTGGCAGCAGCCCCAACTCGACGTGGCAGAGCTCAGGACAGTGACGAGAGGGACCCCCCTGCCACTGGGGCCTGCACACCGCGCCTCGACCTCGGGCTCCTCTCTGATCTGACATCTTCCCCTGGCATCTCGGGGAAGATAGGGCATCTCCCAGGAAACTTCGTGAAGCTCTGCTCCTAGACGGCCTTCCCTGCCTGCTCGTTACAGCCAGCTCGGGAGAAGCCGTGGCCACGGGGAGCCGGGGGACATGGCAGTGACCCGGCCAGGCCACACTCTGTTCTGAGCCTTGGCAGCTGAATCATCAGACCTTTGTGGCCCCAAACAAAATCAGGGGTGAAAAAGAGGTAAGGACGTCCCTCCTGCTCCCAAGTTTAAAACGTCGACCTTGTGCGTGTGCACGTGTGTCACATGAGTGTGCGTGTGCCATGTGTTGGCCACCGCATGGCCATGCAGGTGCCCTTCATGCCCCGGAGCCCTGCCTCTGAAGACAGACATGTCTGCGATCGCATCAGAAAAACCATCAGCGAGTCAAGGTCGTGACACCAGGAGGGACAGAGAAGGGCCAGGACACCTTCCGCAGACCCGTGAGTCGGCTGCAGATCGGGGCTGCAGGCTGAGAGGGCCAAGCTGGTCTGTGACCCAGTGCGAGCCTCCGGAGGACGCCGTAGTCCAGGGGGGCCCAGCACAGCCCCCTCCTGCAGCCCCAGTGCGGACAGTCTGCCTGGAGGCGCTCGGCCTAGACCCTGATTTCCAGCGGTCCTGCAGACGGTGCCCACCAGCCCTCACCGGCCCGCGGCCCCTCAGCCTCAAGCCAGCCATTGTCTGAGGCCCCTGGGCAGGGCTGGAAGTACCCAGTGGCGTCACCAAGGCTCTGCAAGCCCGGCCACGTCCCTGCAGGCCCGGCCTCGTCTCTGCGAGCCTGGTCATGTCCCTGTGGGGTGCTGACCTTCAGTTGGCTGTCATACCCAGGGTCCCCCAGCTACACACCCACCTCTGCTCCCCAAGGGACAGGCCAACTCCTGGTGCCCCTTGACCTTTGCACCTACAGTTTCCCTTTGGACACCCTGGCCTGCCCTGCTCCCCCTGTGACCTTCCTTCCAGGACATCCATGGTTCTCCGCACGCTCCCTGGGTCTTCACGGTCACTGGTTCAGTCCCCAGTCACACACTCACTCTGCAGCCCTGGTACCGACACCAGTCTCCGCCCCACAGGGCTCCCGCAAGCTGGCAGGTCAGGGCTGAGACGAGGAGGGACAGCAGGGGCACCAGCAGGTGACAGTCCTGCAGAGAGCAAGTTCTACCCAGGGCTGGGGAAGCGGCCAGGCAGGGGACACTGCGCGGAGCCGGCCCGGGGGCGGCAGAGGGCTGCGGCACTGTCAGTGCCCTGGGGCAGGTCAGAACGAGCAGGGCCAGGAGAGGCGGTCACCCAGGGAAGGGCCACGGTACCACCAGTGAGGAGGCTGTGCACGTAGGGCGGTGGCCTTGTGCCGTCTCCGGTCCCCATCCTGCCCGTCCTCAGCGCTTGGCCGTGTGACGGCGGCTCAAACCTGCTCTGGGCAGCGCGGGCCTCCATGAGGGGCCAGCCTGCGCCTCCGCCGCACAGCAGGCAAACGGCACGGCCTCCAGCCCTGCCCTGCCACA